ATACTGCCAAACTGATAGTTGAGAGTCATATGATGAAATAAATTATTTAAATATTATATTTTATATATTAAATGTCAGAAATCATTGCAAGAAGGTATTACGGATAAAATTATGATTTGTATTTCAAGATGTCACTAATCCTATAAGCGACGTCACCCTCTGAGTGAACCATCCCAACGCACTAGGCTAAAAGGTTGTCATCCCCCTTGCCCGGGTTGGAACGGAGCACTCACCTGACGATATCACGAACAGGGCCAGTGCATTTAGTTTTAATGCAAGTTTGTAAAATTGGAAAAAAAAAACCAACTATGCAATAACAATTGACATTTTGAACAATGTTAAGTATTGGGAAAAATACTCAAAAGGTACAAAGAAAAACGGATGAAATTATGATTTGATAACAAAACATGTCACAAGCCTGTTGGTGGTGTCACCAGCTGAGCAGGAACCAAAACACTCAAAAAGAGAGTTAAAGTCCCCCCTCAGCTATTCTGTCACCACCCACAGGACAAGTGCATTTGGAGATGACTAAAAAGTGAAATTTTAACATTGGGGCCTATACATCAGAAATTCCTGACATGTCTCCACTAACAACACCGTGTTTGTCAACATGTAACAGATATGAGAATATTTCACTAAGGTGTTTGATATCTGTTCTTTTATTAATGCAGTTTTCATTTTGATAGATATGTGCCATTTCTAAAAGACAGTTTCTAGAAATGGCACATATCTATCAAAATGAAAACTGCATTAATAAAAGAACAGATATCAAACACCTTAGTGAAATATTCTTATATCTGTTACATGTTGACAAACACGGTGTTGTTAGTGGAGACATGTCAGGAATTTCTGATGTATAGGCCCCAATGTTAAAATTTCACTTTTTAGTCATCTCCAAATGCACTTGTCCTGTGGGTGGTGACAGAATAGCTGGTGACACCACCAACAGGCTTGTGACATGTTTTGTTATCAAATCATAATTTCATCCGTTTTTCTTTGTACCTTTTGAGTATTTTTCCCAATACTTAACATTGTTCAAAATGTCAATTGTTATTGCATAGTTGGTTTTTTTTTTCCAATTTTACAAACTTGCATTAAAACTAAATGCACTGGCCCTGTTCGTGATATCGTCAGGTGAGTGCTCCGTTCCAACCCGGGCAAGGGGGATGACAACCTTTTAGCCTAGTGCGTTGGGATGGTTCACTCAGAGGGTGACGTCGCTTATAGGATTAGTGACATCTTGAAATACAAATCATAATTTTATCCGTAATACCTTCTTGCAATGATTTCTGACATTTAATATATAAAATATAATATTTAAATAATTTATTTCATCATATGACTCTCAACTATCAGTTTGGCAGTATCAGAGATGTTGAACTGTTAGTGCTTAGGTGACATAGGCCATTGACGGTTTCTTCTTTTTCCTACTGTTTGACTGACGGTTGACAGGCATATGACAACTGACTCTTTGTACCCACGCTAAAAATAGTTCAAATAGTAACATAAAAAAGTTTCATTTTCGTTTCTAGTACCGAACGGTGTTAGATGTGAATTTTATTAATTATTTTAAAAATTTGACCATGTGCCCTAACGTAAAATTAAAAATATAAACTTTTTGGCTAACATGATTGTTATCAACCATTTTTATCTTGTTTTGTGATGTACCGTAAATTTTTTATTAATATAACACCACATGTACGCAACGATTCTCACTGAGTTGTAAGTATATGTTTTTTCAAAATTGTTTCTTATAACCTCTGTAAAAATTAATATTGTAGCTCCCTGAAGATGAACATAATCATGTTCGAAAGCTTGGAATAAATACTTAAAAGAGTACACAATTGTTAGATTTTTGCTGAAAATCCCAAGATTCCTTAGTTTATATATATATATATATATATATATATAATCTATGATTTTATGAACTTACATGGACTGAAAAATACTGTTTCTGCACGAGTCAGGATCATCAATTCTGATGTGGGTGCCATCAATATACAACAAGACATTTGGAAATCTCATTTCAAAAAATTCTCTTTTTATTCCCTCCTATTCTGCATGTGTTGGCCAAGTAATTATGGCAGGCGATTTTGAGCTTAAAAATAGGCTTACATCTTTAACAAGTGTATGCAATGTATTTACTGCAATGTTAAACCTATCACTTACGTCTCTAAAAGACGCTGCTTCATGTGATGCAAACCAACAAAAAACTAGAACGTATTTTTGGGGACGTAACCTTAAAAAACCGGTATCTACTTGGGGATAATAAGAACTGTTTTCAAATTCCTGGGCAAGTTGCTGAACAATTTGCCTCGGGACTTTAAAATGCTCTACAAATTCCTTGTCTGTATACAAGGGCACAGTATTTTAAAAATACAATTCATTCTTTGGGTGATGTAGAACTTCAGGAATTAATAACTCAATGATTCAGTATCATTATTAGATGATGATGAGGATTTCTTGTTTAGTTTTTCAACTAAACAAGAAATCTTAAAACCAATTTCAATTACATAATTTAAAATATACATTACTTCTGTAATATCCATTTTTAAGTTCGACAAAGTAAAGTCGTAGAATGCAGAACGTTTGATTTAAATACGAGATCTTAAAAAAAAAACAAAACTATCAAGCACTTATAAGTCCAAACACTAAATGAGGTTAGGAGTATCTTTATCATTTGTTGTTTTCCTGATGTTCCGATATGAATATGGTATGTGGTTTAAAAAAGAAGTACCTTTATACGCATGCGTGACAAAAAGTTCAGAAATTGTACCTACTCATGAGAAAGAACTGTTTGTACGGTTATATAATTGTTTTGGAATAATCCGATGACTGAACCAAAACACAGAATTCTACGTCATTTCCGATTCAGGATTGGTTTTAAAATAACCAAAACATTTTTATATGTGGGCATGCGCGAACGGTTCTCGAACTAGAACCAAAACAAACCTATTATGATGACAATTTAAATCCCCTGCTACCATAAATGGTTTTTCTAAGCTATTAAAAAATTCTGTCCATTCTCTCTCAGATATACATATTTAGTCTCGGTTTTGCATAAGGTGAGTAAATATTTATTTTTGTTAATTTATTTATTTTTACACATAAAGATGTACATAATACATCTCTATTATTATAAATTTGTTTTGTGTAATGAGTAATTAAATAGTTTCACAGTAGTATTAATAATTATATTTCTTAAATTAACGTTTACAACAACAAATAAATGAAAATCAAAACCGTAATTATATCTCTGTGTGATATCTGATATCGACTGTCACTTCATTGACCGCCGTCCCCACATCACTTCCCAAATTCCTTTGCTGATAAGGATATCTACACGGCTATACCGGGTTGTCGCCTAACATTTGTTTTGAAAAATTGGAATGTCTACCCCCCCATAGCCATCATGCCTATCTAACCTAAAGAAATGGTAGCTACTAAAAGATATTTTTTAATTTGTTTTTAACCAAGTTTCACTTAGTAAACTTATGTATATTTTTATCAAATAGAAAATTTTCAAATGCCCCCTTGTTATAGTAAACTATTTCTCGGGGTTAAGGTTTTAAAATGAAGAAAATAAAACAATATTCAAAGAGGCTTTGTTTTGATTTGGGGCGTAATGCCAGCATTTTGGATTAGGGTGTGTACGCAAGATGACGGAAAAGTACCTATCTAATATCAAAGTTTTCTACTCTGACCAATTTTTGGGAAAAGTTGGCAATCTTTTGAACCACGTTTCTGCAGGACCATGTAATTTATTTATTGCTAAATTACATATATTATTATCGTCCCATTTATAAATACTAGAATGTTCATCAAGTTTTGACAGCCATTCATGAATATCATCGTGTAACGGATTAAAAGATAGTATGTCACTATCGTTAACGGACATTCCGAATTTTGAACGATATGGTGATTATATTTTAAGTTATTAAGAAGTTTTATCAAACCTGAATTCTGCAAAGTTGGTGAGATCGGAGATAATGGAGGCGTCATTGGTGACCTAGATCTCGAACTGAGAGATATACAAATTGAAAGAACTAGATCTAGAGGAACTAGAACTTGATCTAGACCTAACAGTAGAATGACGCTTTTTCTTATATTTCTTTTCTTACACTTTCTTTTACCCTTGGTATAATAAAAAAAGAAGACACTTTCACAATTAAAAACGAGATACAACAAAAAATAATGTTTTTTTTTTACTCTCCCGATTTTTTAATATCCGACTTCTGATGTAAACTATTTATTGGGGTTAAAGTTTTAAAATCAAGAAAATAAAACACCGATATCCAATTTTAAGTAATATTTTATCGTATATCGGCCACAGACCAAAAGCGAATAATACATATAAACTAGGGATGTCCGATATATACATCGATACATCGAAAATATCGATATTTTCGATTCGATACATCGACTTTACCCGATGCATCGAAAACTTTTGATGTTTCTCGATGCATCGATGTATTTTTATCGATGTATCGAATTTTTTTCCCTGTAGATGTACGTACTTATTCTATTCTTTCTGTAAAAATAATAGCTAATAAGTGTCAATACAATGCAGTCTATCAAATCAAATATGCAAATTAATATCAAATATGTGGCAACAATGCAAATAAATGCTACATTTAGAAACGTCAAAAATCAAAAGCGTCAAAAGTCAAATGGCAAGTCAAAAGCAACTTGTGAATATCGAACATTATATTAGTCACGTATTATGCAAGTAAAAGTAACGTGAACAAGTAAATCTCTATTGTTGATAATAGTGTCAAGTATATAATTATTTTATATGGCCTCTAGTTCGTTTAGTCGATTTTTTTCCATTCTCGCAAATAAAAATAATTTGAGGTTAAGAGCAAACTTTCGTTCACGGTTGAATAGTGTTGCGGCGTTGCCAGACTGTGGTAAATTTATTTTTTATCACCATAAATTAAAGAATTTAAATCATTTTTTGCGTGATTGATAAAAATACCCCTTTTGTTACAGATTTCAATATGGGCCCGCAGAAAAAGAGTTCTGCTTGGAACTATTTCAATAAAATTGATGACAAAACTGCTAAATGTAAAATTTGTCAGAGAATTATTAAGACCGCTGGCAATACAACCAACCTAATGGGCCATATTCGTAATCTTCATAAAGCTGTTTTCATACAAATAAGTACGGAAGCTAAGAAATCTAAGGCTAAAAGTAGCACTGTCTCAGTTTGTCCACAGCCCCAGCCTACTACTTCTAACCCTTCTCCTTGTACTTCCAAGTCTTTACCAGACGAAGCTCCTGTAATTTTAAGCGAGGTAGGCGAACCAATGGAAAATCCTCTTCTTACTAAAGAAGTGGAGAGCGATACAGAAATACCATTGAAGCGACAGAAACCAATTATCTCAGCCTTTGAAGAAATGTATTCTTTTACTCCAACGGGAAATAAAACGAAGAGAATTAATAATAGCATTCTATATATGATTTGTAAAGACAACCAACCATTCAGTATTGTCGACAATGAAGGATTTCGCCACCTATTGAAAGTTGATGCTCCCCAATACAAGATTCCCAGTAGAAGCAGTTTTATTCGATGGCTTGATAACAAGTATTATGTTCTATGGAAAATTTTCAAAGACAAATTGTCCTCTGTGGAACACATCACATTGACAACAGACATTTGCTCCGACAGTATGCAAATGCGCAGCTTCTTGGGTCTCACTGCACATTTTGGAGTGGTTACAGAACTAAATTCTGTAACTCTTGGTGTCTACGAACTAAGCAAACGCCACACATCCGAGTATTTATCTGAAATGCTTTTAAATACATGCAGAGAATGGGGTATAAATCCTGAAACCATATCAGCAGCTTTTACTCAAAGAAAACACATATCATGTTTTGCGCATACGCTAAATTTAGTGGCTTAAACGATTTTACATAATGATAAACTAAAAAACATAATTTCGAAGATGAAATTGCCAGTGATGAACTTCGTAAAGCTACAGCCGACGAAACAAAGCTCATCCAAGATATTTCAACTCGTTGGAATAGCACCTATTTTATGATAGAACGATTTTTAAAACTCCGCGTTCATGTGAATAAAATTGTTAATCGTCACAAAAATGCACCTCCTATGTTAAGTGGCTTGGAAATAAGTATTATTTCATCAATACTTCCACTGTTACGTCCATTTGAAGCTGCTACCAGGAGATCATTACACTACCAGTAATAAAATTATTCCCTTAATTCATTGTCTAGTTTCAAAAATAAAATCTTTCTGTAGACGAACTGGTAGCCAAAGAAGTTCAAAATATAATTTTGAAAGAGATAAGCAAGAGGATGTGAAAAGTAGAATATGTTTTGCCAATGGCTATCGCGACGATACTAGACCCGAGATTCAAAAAAATCCATTTTGCAGTTCCCATTGCCTGTGCCAATGCAGTTCAAAAAATCAAAGAAATTGTTAAAACTAATATCTCCCAAGAAATAATTGAAAAAGGCGATCTAAACGGATCAGATTCAGATAATTCTGATAAAGCAGAGGAGATATTCAGTCTCTGGAGTGACCATCATAAACTGGAAAAATAGTAGATCGGCGGAGGATGATTTGTCCGATGAAATATCAGTCTATTAAAAAACTCCCGTTGGCAGATTAAAAGAAAACCCGCTAGAAATTTGGAACGATTTGAAGGTACAATTTATTCAAAGTTGCATATAAGTATCTTACCATAGTCGCAACGTCGGTACCTTCCGAACGGTTGTTCTTAAAAGCGGGACAAACCCTTAATGAACAACGAAATAGGCTGAATAAGATTTTATTTTTACAAAGTTTAGATAAAAAATATTGGGACTTGGATCAGTAACCAACTTATATTTATTTTACATGTTTTGACTCCACTGTTATTGAGAAAAATGTTTCAGTTTTTTATGTTCAAAGTTTTGTTTATCTTTGTATCTATGTAATCTTTTAGTTTTAGAACATTTATTTTTGTTTTTATTTTTTTAGTTTTTAGTTTTTTTATATATGTTTAAAAATAAATATTACTAAGCTTATCTTTCTGTTTCGTTTTATTATTTGTTTAATATTATTATAAAAAGATGGTCGTTAAATCTAATATATTCCAGTATTTTATAAGTACGATGCATCAAAAACATCGATGTTTTGTATTCGATATATCGAAATGCATTGATGCATTTTGCCGATGCATCACATCGAAAAAAAACATCGATGTTTAAATTTGGTGGACATCCCTAATATAAACACAAACTGTCTCAACGAAGTCAGGTATACGTGTTCCTTTTTCAAGTGTTCATCCTAAAATAATAAGATCGTCTTTTCTTCCACTTGTGATTTTTACGGTCAGCGGCGTACGTAGCCGTTCACATGATGGATAATTGATCTTATATTATATTGTAAAATATTGAATTTAATGTTCTAAAAATGTATTTAATTTTTTTAATAAATTATCTTTCAAATTAGTGTCCTTTATGGATTCTTTATGATTTTGTAACAATTCTTTCATATCATTAACTATGATTTCACATATATTTTCTGCTTTTGTTTGTTGAGAAATATTGGAATTATTTGTAGTTTGAAAATTTGGATTATTTTTATAGTTCTCATAAACAGGTTGGGATTTTACCCTAGGATTTTATTAAATGTTTTTGTGTTCGTCTGAATACCCTGATGGCTGCAAGTTTCAATATGTTTGTTACCGCGTGGTTTTTTAATATAGCTTGTGAAATAAGTACTATTATTTTTATTTTTGATTGAGATTGCATAGTTTTTTCATTTTTATTGTTTGCTTCTGTATATGATATATTTTCTGTAACCATACTATATTTTATGGTTTTTTGGTCATGCGTATGTGTTCCTTTCTGTAGCAGCGTGATCGCCACTGCATAAAATACAAATGGGTTCACTAGTTTTTTGACAATTTTCATTGTCTTGATCCTCCCCGCAATGTCTACAACGCAATTTATCTTTACAAAATATGTAAAACGCACACTTACTTATACAGGTTACTAGATTTCATTTAATTTAAATGTTTCTCGTCTACGTCAAACCTAAGGCAGCAATTACTTGTTGAAAATCTAATAACAGCAATGACATTCATTGCCTCAGTACCTATCTTATTTATTTCTTGTTTTTACGTCAGTTACTACTGAGAATACCCTCTCACTCTCAGCATTGCTATGTGGTAGCGAGTTACAAATATTCGGTAATTTACAAATATTTTCAAATTCATAGTTATCTTTATTCATAAATAATACTTTTTCATCCTCATCAAATTAAAAAATATCTTTTTCCACTCTAAAGCTATTAGGTCACAATTAATGTCGTTAAGAGCCGAAAATTTTGTATACACTGGCTGATGATTTTGTGGTCTATCATATCTTAGTGCAGTTTTTGGCTTAAGAAAGCTTATACAATCAAAAAATGTATTATTTAGTAAGGAACGTTTTTGCATGTCATCTGCTGCCGTGATAAAAAAATCAAGACATGATTTTCTAACGGAAATTTGAATATCCTCCGGTAAACTTAAAAAAAAATTACACTCCGGTCCTAGATTAACATGTTCCAAGTTTTTAAAATTTTTTGGATTTTTGCATTCAACATTAGGATCGGTAGAATACTATTTATTCTTTTAAATAAAGGGAGCAAAAATGGAACAAAATATTATTGGATTCTTTGGATAGTTCGTGAACTAATACTTTTTTTAATTAAAAAGAGCATTAAACGTATTAAAATAATTTAGTATGCATTTTAAAAATAAGAGAATGGCCTTTGTACACATATTGCACACCTAGATCTAAAGAGGTATTAACTCAAAAAAGCACTTTTTTCAGAAAATGCGAAAAACTAATTACTGTGTCCCTGTGCATTGCAGTTTTTTGTATAGATTTATGGTTTTATATTATGCTGCTAAAAGAATGATATTGTAGGAATTTTGTGTTTTGATCATGTTTTGAGGCTGAAAATTGGATTTTTGTAGTTATTTCCCTATTGCTTAACAATGTATGGATAGTTGTTTCATTATTTTGAGTTGAGCCTGTGTTGATGAATTTAGTTTTTAGTTGGCTCTCTTTTGAAGAAGCAACATAAATTTAAAATGTAATAACATTTTGTCTTATTTATAATTAATCCAATTCATAGAGCGGTCTGTGACCATCACTAGGGGTATATTGGAGAATGATTTTAAGAAAACACTAGAAGTACGAAATCAAACAATATTTTTTATTAATAAAACTTCAAAAAAGTATAAAAGTATACTAACACAACCGAAAAACTTTTAGTAGATATTTTTTAAATACCTATTACAAGATTAAATAAAACAAAAATCTGAGTAGCTAAGCTGAGAAATAATAAACTTTAAACTTAAATGCTAATAATGGCACTTTGAGATCACCGTTATTGAATCTACAATTACTTATAAATAACTGCACAACTTTGGTATTTCACTTTTTTATCAGTACCATTTTTTGGTAAAATATTCTTTTTGATCTAATGGATAGTTAAAGACCTAAATATTTTAATAACAATAAAGCAGTTAATTATCATGCATTATCGACCAAAACGCCTTTATAATAAACATCATAGTACGATTTTGGAATAACGTTTTTATCAATCAATTCTTGTATGTCTTTTTTTTTTTTAGCTTCCGACAATGCAATTTTGTCAGTGTATGCCTGTGTTAGGCCAATTGAAAATAACGATTGATCTATGGTTGAACCGGTTCCTCTTGCGCGGAGAACCCTGCTCTTTCGCATACAAGCTTTTTTATAAGTTTCCTCAGTAAATGATGTTTTGTAGAAAAACGCTTCAGGGTGTTCTTTTCAACTCTGAGAACCTTAATGTCATGCCACTTGATTTGATTTTTCTCCTCGTCTATATTGAAATTGGTGCCCCACGATTCTTGCAATGCTTTGACGTCATAAAACTTATTATGAGTCACTTCTATAACTTTGTAAGATTTTCCCGTCTTTTTGGCTGTACCAATCAAAGTTTTATATTGCTCTGGTATGTATATTGGACCCGACTGCAAATATCTTTTAATTTGTTTTTCAATCACACTATGAACGTTATCCCCTTCATTTTGTGAATGACCGCGGATTAAAAACTTGTGAGTAATAGACTTAACTCTCAACTTGTTGACAGCGTAGGCATAGACAGACAACAGAAACTTATTTTTTTGTTGACCGCCACAATTGTCTGAGTAGAATATTACGTCAATTTCTTTATTGGGAGTGTGGTCTACCTGAGATTTAATGTAGTCGAGTATACAACTACCAATTTCAACAGCTCCTCTCTTTCCTTCGGTTTCATCCCAAAAGTAGCACACGACATCTGTTGCCTTTAAATCGCTGACAGTAAAATTGAGGCAATTGATCCTGGATTTATAAAAAAATAGGGATATTTGTCCCTTCGGAACCTGCAATACTGCTTGCAAGTCATAAACTGCTATGATGGTACCATCTGTCCTATTCTTGTCATTTTCTTTTTCAGTTATTGCCAAAGTTTTTTCTTTTAGATGTTCTTCATATTCTTGTCTTAACTTGCGCTTTTCTTCTTCATCTGAGTTTTTGTACCTTTCGCACAAATCACATTGATCTTTTTTCGGTACAAAAAAAGAAATGTTGAATTCAGTGTTGAATATCCTGTTGAATGTGGCAACAGGTAATTCATTCCTTTCACGAAATCGTTTATAATCTCTGTAGATATCTGCCAAAGATTTATCACATGAAATAAATTCTCTACTTGTTTGTGCTCTTAACTTGTGGGATTCTATTCTTGGGATACAATTTATAAAATCTATTACACTCTTTTTAATCTGTGGGTCAATAGTTGGATGGTTGGCGTGTTTTCCCCTGAGATCCGCTTGAATAACTCTAGATTCTGTTTGTTTTTTAAGTGCCGTTTTTATTG